ATGCATGATATACCGCACTACTGGCTAATATGTGTACATGCATGATATACCGCACTACTGGCTAATATGTGTACATGCATGATATACCGCACTACAGGCTAATGTACGTACATGCATAATACACCGCACTACTGGCTAATATGTGTACATGCATGATATACCGCACTACTTTGTCAAGCTGCAGCACACTTCACATATGACCCGGATCAAATTCATTAGTTTGTTATTATCAGGTCAAGTAAGGGTCTTGAGTCTGGGAGATATTCTTAGCACAATGAAGTGAGCGCCGAAGCGTGTGGGGATTCACGTAACCCCTTTGGTTAAGGTTCGAGCGGTTGTGTCTGATCAGTTATGATGACAGACTATGACAACCAGAGCTAGAATTAACAGGGTAAAAAATATAGAAGATAAGGATAATTTAAATATAGTTAGTTTATACTGGTCTTGGAGGAATGACGGCCAGCGAATTATGAACTTCGACGATACCGCGGCGATCTTGCCAGGGGGCAAAACAAAACAAAGATGACGGGGAAATATATATAGATTTTCGTGTGTTTGTCTTTCTTTTATGGGTAAAGGTGATCGATGTGCCGTCTTTATCTTTTTTGTATTCTCTTGTGGTGAGCTGTTAATATCAATCGACATCATTACTGTAAGAAAGCGTTACTTGCCCCCGTGTGTGTCTGTATTTTTTATTTTTATTTTATTTTATCTTATTATATTTTTGTGCTTCTCTTCTCTGTTTTTTGTTGTTGCTGCTGTTCAGCTTTTGTTGATGACTGAAGTGATCATAAAGCTAGGTAGACCTATTTCGTCTTGGTCAGTGTACTGTTTTCCCATTTCAGACCACATGCTATTCCCTGATCGTTTATCATTTCTTTGTTTAACGGTTGCGCATTAGAAAACATGAATATGGATATAACTCGAACTTCTTTTCTCGCTCGTTTCACACACTTTACAAGTTGCAATCATTTCAGCATCAACATTTACTACCCTACATTGATTCACTGACCTACAGCTGTCCCTGTTCTACATTAATCATCAACACTGTCTCCAATAAATAAACTTTATCTTGACCAATACCCTAAACTACTCACCCTTCCATCGGTAATCCTAACAACTTTTCCTCGTAGTTTTCCGGCCAGTTTGGCAATTTTGCCTTGAAGAGGATAGACAAGCAGAAAGAGTCCACAGCCAACAAGTGCTGCAGGGCCGATCAGATATGTTGTGTAGCCAATAGCCATCAAGATGACGACAGGACCACCTTGAAATTAACAGGATAGAGACTAAGAATTAGGACTCGTTTACTTTGGGTGTGAATTAAAATTTTCCATTTTTATATATGTCATTCCCATACGCAAAGATTTTCAATTGCCATGCAAACTCATTTGCGCATATGTTTCCATTTCAAAAGCAGTCCCATGCGCAAATATTTTCAATATTGACATACATTATCATTTGTCTAAATTTCATTCCATTTTAGAAGGGCTATTCCAATGCGCAAATATTTTCTTTTCACGTATTTTTTCCCTACTTCAGAAGCGCCTACCCCATGCGTAAAGATTTTCAATTCCCTCGCATTCCTATAAATCGAAAACTTTTCCCATTTCACTCGTGCTATTCCCATCGACGTAATGTTTTTTCCATTTCAGTCGAGCCATTCCCATCGGAGTAATAATATGATAATATTTATTTATATGGTGCAAATTCAACATAGCGTCTTCAAATGCGACTGATGTTTTCCCATTTCATTCAAAATTTCCATCGGAAGGTGATCCAACTAACTTTTGTCCCTCTTTCAGAAATGTACCAAATAAAGGGTGGCGCAAAACGTTCTACGCACACCGATATGGTTCTAACGCTCTATCTGGTTTTCCTCCTTCCTCAAAAGGCACGACTAATCAACTAGTTAACAGTGACCAGAAACTCATGAGGGGATTGAAAACTTCCTCATAAGTTTCTGAAGTGATTTCGAAAACATAGAGTAGTTTTCGTATGACTGTGAAAAGCTCAGTGCCGTAAGCGTGACGTGCCGTGACCGTGATGTATTCTAGAATTTCAATCGACTGATTTTTTCACGCTCAATGTGATTGGTCTGGCATTGCCGTGACCTTGGCGTGTGACCGTGTCCGCGCCGTGTTTATGCCGTGTTCCGGGTATTTGATTGGATGGAGAGTAAATTCTCGTGCAATGTGATTGGTCTAGCGTATCCCTTGCCGTGTCATGGCCGTGTTCGTGCCGTGAATTTTTCACAGTCATACGAAAACTGCACTACATTCTAGAACTCACCTATAAGAAAGTTACTGAATGAAACTCCTTCATACACGCGTTGCGCATCTGATGCACACAGATTGACGAACTGGGGGGAAAATGAATAAAGAACTGTTAGTGATCAAGTAAGGCTCAGGTCAAACGTCGAACTTCACATGAGCCGAACCTAATTGAAACGATGGATAACAAGGCGGTCTTCTGTGATAGCATTAGGTTCGGCTCATGCGAAGTTCGACGTTTGAAACTAATCTAAACTAATTAACAGTGACTTATTTGAAGGCGGCGCTCTTTAACAAAATCATAACCTTTTAAACATGCTTTAAATGTATTTCACTGCATCGGCGTAAATTAATGCCGCGCTTATTTGAGGAAGGTGCTCTTTAATATTTTTGCTCTCATATGCGGCGCTGAAACTTACGGATAATAGAGAAAGTAAAATCCCATTCCCTTGTCATTTACAAAATAAGAAGGCTATCTTTTACCTCTCCTATACTCTTGTCTCCAACATTCCGTAGCTTAGAAAGCTTCTCGTAAAGCAGAGAGTATATCATTGATCTGGCGCGAGTTCCTGTGCGAATGTTCACGAAAAAACTCACAGAAAGTAGAGTTGTACGCAAAATTTCTGTAATCAAGAGTCCAACAACCTACGAAAACGAAAAACAGTGGGAATAAAACAAGTGCCTTGACTGGTAGAAATACATTTTATTCACACAAAATCCTCAAAGATCGCGCTCACTGGAATAAAATTCGTTAAAGTTTGGAAACACGGTGCAAACTAAATGCGGAAAGTTTCCGGCGCACATGCTGAGATTTCGATGGGTGTCACAAGTAGCAACCTTTCCTGAATTAAGAAACGCTACTCACGCGTGGCAGAATTTAGGCAAGCGATGCAAGGAAACGTCGCATTTCATTGGATAAGGACATCACGTCATTGCGCGCAACGTGGCAGATCTTGTACGATAAAACGTTTTGCGCGTTACAGAAGGTCTCGATTCTAGTTATGCAAAATATTGCGCGCAAAATTAAAAAGCTACGCTGGACACATGGCACAAATGCGTGGTTGTGCGCAACAACTGCACATGCGCCCTTAGACCCTTAGAAGAAGAATATTGCCTCGTTCCACATACCAGAGCTACTCCGTACTCAATAGTTGATGTTTCTTTCTTTTCAAGGTATTCCAAGATGTAACGAATAAACAATGCCTAAAAACGATGACAAAATTTGTTTGTTAACTACTGAAGTCTTTGATTTTGCTTTCAGAATAATTAAAGTTAAAAATTAAGAAAATCAAAGAAACCCTTCAAATGTTATTGAAACCTGAAACAACCTCTGGGCTGATCAAAGTCACAACATGGCTAACTCACAAATAGAACCCTAAAACCATCTCTTTGTTGACCTAAGTCACAGATCAAACTCTGAAACAACTTCTTAGCTGATCAAAGTCTGGGCATGGCTAGCTTGTAGAAATTGGAATTTAGCTTGTTAGGTTTGCAGAAAAAGGATAAAAAGAAAACCCAGAGAAAAAACCCTCAAATCAAGAGTGAGACCTAACAAGCTATACCCACATGTGATTCTGAGTCCAGCAATCAATTCCAAGAACCCCAAAAATAAGCGGAGAGTGCTGTACCCCTACCCCACCCTTGATTCCCTCAAAACAAATCCCTAAATCACTTACAGGTCCCAGAAAGGTAAACACTTGAGACAGACAGAACATCAGAACACCAAAAATCAACCTTGTCCTGACTGCTCTCCACACAACCTTGCCCAGCGATGCATGCTTTAGACCAACAGTATCCACTTCTGTGTTCCAGATTCTCTTTATTCTCTTTCCATTATATTTCATAGTCTCGTAATCAGAAAGTTTGTCAAGATCTTCTATCTGGAGGGGTTTTCGGAACCCTTTCATTACTGTCGGAGATGCCCATGACATAAACATCAAAGAGATGAACCCTGAATCATCAATCCTTGGTTTATTTGGATTCCTGTTGGAACAGCAAATTTTTTATGACTATAAAGTTATCAGATTCTAGCTTATTCTTAAGATTACCCATTTTCATATTTATGTGACCCAGACAAATAGCTTTTAGGTGAGTTTTTGGCTTCTGCTGTTTAAATGTTTTAAGTATTTTGTGATTGAAATACACCAAAAAACTTAGACATCTTGAGTTCTGTTGCTCTTATTATCGAGAAAATGGCTGTACGATAAGTTTTGAGTGCTTTACTGAACAAAATTTCCCTTGCTGCTTTGTCACAAATTATGTGATTATAGCTATTTATATGCATTTTTGATCTATTGCCATCTCTGCTCCCTTATTTTGAGCAGGAAATTTCATCCATTTAAATTTATGCACCCTTTCAAATATTGTCATCACAATGGRAAAAAAAGGAGATTTTTTCCCTAAATTTTTAAAGGGTCAAGATCTGTCATTCATGTCATTTTGAGGTTCTTTCCTGGCATAGACAGTTATTAATATATTCATCCATCAAGAAATATGAAAATAAGGAAATCACTTGCCATGACGTTTGTCAAGTCAAAACAATGACGAAGCAAATCTGAAAGGATTTAAGCTTAGTTAAATGCTTTCCGAAGCCTGCCAAAACGGCATGGTATTAATTACACCTCTAAATGCTCTCAATTACAAAAGTAACACTGCTGTGAAGTTGGTTTTTAGACTTTTAACAACGAATTATTTCCAAAATTCTCCATAATGTTTGCAAATGTCGTACCCTTGGTTTTATTTATTAAGATAAAATATTTTTGTTTTGATTTCGATTTATTGGTCAGCAATTTTCAATCTATAGTGTGGTCTTTTGAAACCCTACACGGTGACATCCTTCCTGATTTAACGCCCTTGGGTATCGCTTTCACTGCTAATTCTAAAATTCATTTAACATGTGATAAGTATGAGATGAAAGTTAACATTATCAAAAACTAAATGTTACACAAAATTCACTGCTTTAACTGATATTCATATTACATAAGATTTAACCATGCATTAAATACCAAATTATTATATATACAAATTACTTAAAATTAAACGCRATCATTTATAGAAAAATTAGTCGTTAACAAACTGAAATCTCAATAACAGGGATGTAATGTTTAAAGTAATGATTATATCTAGGGAATATAACGTTGACTCGGAAATTTTTTGGATGTTTTACTGTGGTCGTATAATCAGGATTAATGACAATACATTTTAATATTAATATTTATTTCGCATTGTTTTGAATATGAGTTAATTAAGAATGTAATGCCTGCCTTTTAAACTGCTTAAAATAAAACGCATGTACCTTGGTGCACAAGGGAGAAACTGCTTCCAGTTGTACTTGGATCTTCTATCGGATTCCTCATCGTTTTGCAGTTTTACATTATTATTACGTCTAAGTGGCTGGTCATTTGAATAGTGAGCTGTATCAGGTTGGAATGCTAGGTTTGGAACACCAGTATCTTCATCTGGTGACTGTTGTCGCGTTGACGCGATATCGTTGTCAGAAGTAGAGGGATTTTTGTCTACGGGTGCCATTTTTGGCACATAAACTACTAAAACCCGAGGTCAGCCGGTCTTCTTGTCTTCTTGTACGACTGATTGAAGCATGAATCAAATGTTTTGTTATTTGACATTCCGAAAGTCCCAGGGGAATTCGTATGGAGACTGGTACTAGGTGCTATATATAGCTATATTTATACATATGTACACATTCATTATATAGCGCCATTACGAAGCATGGCGGACAACAGGGATAATAATATTACGCTTTTATCATGGGTGAGTACCGATCTTTGTAAAATATATCATCCATTCTATGAACCAATAATTCAAGTATAAGCTTACTGAATAAGCGATAAGTGGCATGGGCTGTATGGATTGAATATCGTAATGGTGGTAAAAAGTGCCCACACTTTATCTGTGATACAGAAGTATATTAACTCTATAATGACTGTATTGCATGATCCATTGTTTTTATCAATACTATATATTATAATAATACATTTTTCAGGGCTCAAATAGTTATGGTCAGCTTTGCAATGGCCACAAGCATGATGTCCTATACCCAGAACAATCTATCCCCTCCCCCACACGGAACGTTCTTGCATTGACTGGGGGAGGAGGTCACACAGCTCTTGTCTCAGGTTAGTAAATTGTGTGACCAATTAGAGAATTCATGCATGGGTGAATCACGGAGGGAGGGGGTAGGAGGGTAGGAGGGTAGGGGGAGAGAAGATTGCACCCCTTTTGGAGTTTGAAAATAACAAAGATAACATCTAAAAAAGACATTGTGTATTCCTTTCTAGGTAACAGCCACCCCTTTTATATTTTTGTATGTGTGTATTAATTAGGTGATGGTAAATTATATGTGTGTGGATGGAATAACAAGGGGCAGTTGGGCTTAGGAGACACAGTAGACAGAGCTACCTTAACTCATGTGCTTGGAATCCAAGCAGTCAGACATGTTGCATGTGGATGGAATCACACTTTAGTGATAACAGGTAATGGTATAAAGTAACATATGTAACACAATGCTTAAACCTTGGTAACATGCACTTGGTAACTGTCTTCTTATATGTGATATCTTTCAGATGAAGGATGTCTTTTTGTATTTGGGTCAAATGCATTTGGACAACTAGGACTAGGAGCATGTGAGGGAAACATCTCGTCTCCATGCCAGGTACTCAATGCCTTAGAAATCTTTTTGCTATAAATGACCTTTAGAAGAAGAAATAGATACCTTGCATTGATTTCCTAGAGGAATTGTTCTGTGGGACAAAATAATAGGCATCTTTTCTTATGCAAGAAAACATCCATTGTTTTGTTCCCTAGAACAATTCCTTTCAGCATTGCAAGGAGTCTAAAAATAAGATTACGTTTTATGGTTTGCTAATCAGCCTTGCTTAATTTATGAGTGGCCATTTCTGTTTCTGTCTGTTTTCTGAATACTAAATGATTCATTGGGTAAAATATATCTTTAATGCTTAGTAGGTGTCTCTTGGGTCTAAAGTTACAGATGTTGCTGCAGGGCTCCGTCATTCACTTGTTTTACTTGGTATGTTTCTGATTCAAGAGATTTCAGGATTGCATTATGTACTTTATTTATGTACTCTAGCAATACACCTTTCTTGAATTAACTGAATTGGAGCAAATTCTATACTATTTTGAAAAAAATATATAATTTATTACCCTAACACAAATGTAATAATGATGTGCAGCTGAAATAATGATTTGAATTTCAAGATGATAGTTCTGTGTGGTCTTGGGGTGACAATAAGAGAGGTCAGCTTGGAATCCCAAGATCAAAAACCAAGACAGTGGGAACGCCAACTAAAGGTATTTATTGTTTTATGTAACTTTTAATTATTCTTATCACTTTTTTGCCATGGACTGCAGAGAGAAAGAGCTTGGGTCTGAGGGCAACAGCCACCCCCTTGATCCCCAATTTTTTTCATGTATTTACAGGTTAAATTTTTTTTAAGTTGCCATTCTTTCTGACAAGGCCTGTCAAGTAGCAGCTGGTTCACATCACTCAGTAGTTCTTACAGGTATTGTTTCAAGACAGTTATGCTGCTTAGGAAAATAGAAAATAAAAGAAATTGCATACTGACCTACCCCGTCCCCCTCCCCATCCACTCCCCATTATCTTGGGAATTTGTAGCGAAAAATTATATCCTAATTGGCTTATCAAAATTTAGAAAATAGAATGAGAAATAATCAAGATTATTATAATTATTATAATTGATTGATAATTTTCTTTATCAAGCGTTCAATTTAAGAAAAAAATAGAAATTCTCATAGGGAGGGTTGCAGCCCCCCACCCCNGCCCCCCGACCCCAACCCCTCCTATTGGATCTGCCCCTGCAAAAAAAAGCAAACTACCTTGGTCTTCACTGTTTTCAAATTAACTTGCAGTAATGTATTGGGCTTCTCTAGTAATAGTGGCTTTTGTTCCAGTCAAGGGCAGATCCAGTCGGGGTACTGGGTGACTAGCCACACCCTTCGGAGTATTGCTTACTATCCAATCACATGACTTTTTGAAGACGTATGTGACTAGTAACTGTCAAAACATGTACAAATAAGTCCTCAAAGTATCATATTGGACTATTTCTATGCCCTGAAACCAGAAATCAAGATACACATCCAATAGATCCTCAAAACTTCCAAATATTAATTGCCCCTCCCCTGTCAAAACACATATATTACTGGAAGTGACGTCTATTGATATTAAAGAAAACATAAAGAAAAAAGAGTAATGTAATATTGGATTTGTTATTTTACCTTTTGTTTACAGAAAATGGACAAGTTTTTTGTTGGGGATCCAATCAGCATGGACAGTGTGGCAAACCAGTTAATACGGAAACAAAAGGTCACCATCACAACTTTTATGATACACCTCAACTTGTTTGTGGAGATTTAAGAAATAATAAAGTGAAATCCATACTTAGTGGCTGGAGCCATGTTCTTGCTACAACAGGTAAAAAAATCAGGAATAAAAATGGAATTTTTGTAAACCATTAAATTTTGCGTTGTTGAAAATGATTACGGTTGCTTTGTCAGAAAATAAAAGTTAAAACTGCGAAAATCTAAAAGTCTTAACACTGCCTAATTTGAAGTATTTTAAAAGTTGGTGCATAAAGATTTTGCTCTATAATTTAATTTTCAGATGATAATCAAATCTACAGCTGGGGTCGTGCAGATTATGGTCAGTTAGGTTTGGGAGACGAAATTGTAAACGTTGGATATAGCTGGCAGCCTTCGAGGATACCAGATCTATCTGGGGTCAAACAGGTAAGCCGAGGAATGTATAAAGGTCATTCACCGGCCAGGAGGTCCGGATAGGGAAAAAACTATGCCCGAGGTCTTGAAAGGCCAAGTTCCGTTTTCAAAGCCAGGAAACAGTCTCCTCTATCCGGACCGACTTAAGGACCTTAAGGGCGGTAAATAACTTTTTTTGGTCATTTACCTTTAATCTTATTTTGCAATTTTTTGTTGTTGTTTATTACTCGTTTGTGGTCCAAGATAGAAAACATTTCACGCTCATGCAGGCAATTAGAACGCACCATTTTTAGAACATTGCACTGGAAAAATATAAACTTGTTTTATTTAACCTTTTAAATGAAAACCCCTTGCCATGTTTGTCGTAAAATATTTCTACGTTGCTTAGCGTTTGGTCAAAAAGGGTGACGCAACAAAATGGCAGCTCGTATCTTCCCTTGCGCAGCAAATTTTCTTTGTTGCAAAGAGTAGTGAGATCTTCTGCTTCATGTTACTGTAAGTCTGTTAAGCTGTTTTGTTATCGTTTATTGATAGCTGGTGTGTGGCGCAGAACACAATATAGCATTACTTGGTAAGTCATCACGTTAATTCAATGTACAGGTTTTACATCTTGGTTAATTTTAGGCTCGGCGAAAGTGCAACTGCTGCTTGAAATGTTGAAGAAATCTTCAAAGTTGTGTCAAACTCTGCAACTATTGCGCTAAGCTCAACGTTCCAGAACTGAAAGAGAGGTCTACTAGTCCGACGCGTCACATGGAATTTCCTGTAACGTTACTGGCAATGACGTAATATTTCCAGCCAATGAAATGCGACCTTTCCTTGTAGCCAAAATTCTGCTACGTATGAGTAGCTTCGTTACATTCATGGCATTGTTGCAGGAAACGTTGCTACGCGACGTGTGACATCCCTCGAAAAATCTTTCGTCACCATTGTTCCACGCAGCAGCTGCACCGTGTGCCTGTTTTTTATTGCTCTTGCAATTTACGTTTGTAATATATCTTTTTATACACATTGGGTATAAAAACGTTTCCATTTCAGACCCACTTGTTATTCCCTAGAGTATTATTTCTTTGCTTAACGGCTGCGCATGAGAAGACACATAAATATGGATACAWCTCAAACAAAGAATCTTATTCTCAAGATAATGACAAGGTGTCTGAAATGGTAAAACATTACTCCCAAGATAAAAATTTTTATTTCTCATTGCTTTCTTTGTCTAAAGATTCTGGTGAAGTTTTAACCTGGGGATGGAATGAGCACAGTATCTGTGGATTTAAAGACGAGCATAACCTTCACACTCCAACGACACTTAGTGCAGTAGGTGAATCTCGTAAAGTCAGGCTGGTCGGTTGTGGTGGTGGGCACACCTTTCTAGTCATATCACAACAATGATTGGGCATGGTATTCAACATTAACTTAAGGTTGCCCTGCCATCTGTTTGAGCCCTAATTGTATGTTTTCAGTTCACGGACGATACTGAAATATCATCCTTTTGATGTAGCAAATGGACGTGAGAAAGAAACAAATTACTAGATATATTTTGAGATTAAAAAATCTAACTGCTGCTGTGACAGCACATGTCGCTAGCAAGAACAGTAGGGAATAGGTGAATCTCTTGTTAGTAACGACAGTAGTGTATCTGAGATAAATTGAATAATCGAGCTTCTATGATAATTTCAACAGTTTCGAAGTTTGAGAGAATAAAAACATAGCAAATGCATTTGCCCACGAATGGCCTTAACACCTTGAAAATGTTAACTCATTATCACACCGCATTTCTTAGAAAGGCTTCAAGGGAATAATCATTTGGATGTAGCAGTATAAGTGAACCTGTTTTATTTTATTTTTACAAACTTACTTGTCTTACAAACTTCGCCCGGTGGGCAAGGACTGAACACAGTAGCACACAAAGTCCTCTTCAAGAAAAAAAAACTACAAAGTAAAGGAAGAAAAAAGGGACGAAGATAAAGTTAAAACTATTTACAGGATACATCAGTAAACTAGTAATATTTAACTACTGGCAACAGAATTCGTTCTTTGAGACTAGATCTATAGATAAAGGAAGGCTTTGATAACAAAAGTCCAGAAAAGCCGAGAATCTTTAGTCAGAAAAGTCATTTCTTTATGAATCAGCATTTTAATTATCAATATACCTTTTCTAGCAATGAATAGAGTGTTAAAGATTAATCAGGAGGTGCATTTATATTTAGATTACTGGATGATTATCTGTCTTACTTCCTCGTTATTTAAAAGCCGCGTAATTACAAGCAAAAAATAAGAAAAAGCAACACCTTCGAGGTTTTTTTTGGAAGGTATGAGAAGGTAATTCTTTACCCTTATGATAGCAGCAGCAGCAGAATTACCGAAACTTGTCTGCCTAAAACGTTTTTTTCTTGATAATACTATTTTCGATTTTACTCTCTGGATATTTCAGTACTTTTAATTCAATAAAATGACCTGATAAAAAGATAAGCCGGCATTTATAGGCATTTTTCATGAACCTTTTCTCTCGTAATCTTCAGCAATTATACATAACCAATTTAAATTACTCGGTGAGTTTTTTAATTTGCAGCACGAGTAAAGATTAATATTCAATATCATTTATAATCTGTATATATTCAACTATTTATTGTTAATCGTGAAATTTTTGTTTTGTTTTTTTGTTTTTTGTTTTGTTTTTTAGTTTTTGTTTTTGTTTTTCGTTTTGTCGTTGTGAGAATTTAGTTTTGCTTTGAGCACATAAAGCATACCAGCTCCTTCATGGCATTTCTTATTTCCCTCATCTTCCAGCAAATTATTACAGGGTTAACAAGCGAATTAACGAAGATCAGAGTACCAGAAAAGATTTTTATCTCCAATATCAGACAATGCTCTAATATTTGTATTAATACTATACTACAAATATATGGCAGATAGAACAATAGGAAGATCGCGTAGATACACATCATACTAAAGGTACGCTTCTTGAATCGGGCCAGCTCCAGCACCTTGTTGTTGCCCCCCCTCGTAGCAACAGCCATCGTCTGGTCGTGGATTTCTTTTTGATGTCGTATCACTGTACGGTAGATTTTACTGTAGGAAATGAATGCGACGATGAAACAAATGGTCGTGAGAGTGGTAACTTTAATTGTGTAATCCCTCATTGTAAATATGTTTGAGACGGCAAGTACAGCGCATATGGCTAAAAAGACCAGTACGCAAAAGGTGATTCTCTTGTTAGTGACGACAGTGTTGTATCTGAGGTGAAAATGAACCATCAACAGTTTGTCCACACTGATGGCTGTGAAGGTCAGAAAGGACATACCAACAAATACATTTCCCAAAATATGACTCATAGTTTGGAGAACACACTTGATTGATAGTGGTAGATTCGTGGTCATACTATACAATAAAACAGCGTACAACGGCTGTGTCGTAAGTCCTACAAACAAGTCTGTGCTTGCCAAGGCACATATAAGAATGTTGGATGGCGTGCGAAGTGTTGATGTTCTACAAACAGCTACGAACAGAATCAAGTTGATCACTACAGTAGGAACGCAGAAAAAAATGTTGATCGCGACATTGGCTATGTGAAAGGAATTATCCGTATCTGTACAGTACTCAATCGTGCTACAAAGTCTTTCGTTGGAGATCGTCCCATTACTTTTCTTCATATCCATGTTTTAACAATCCTGGATTCAAAACTTTATCTCACTCAAAATTGAAGACCTTTTATCGGTGCAGAGATTAACTGGAAACGTTTTAAGATTATGACATTAAATTGGAATCTTAGAAATACAGGCTTACCAAATAAAAATTCCACTATAGAGAGACGAGAATGAACCGAAGGTTTTGCCTGCGAGTGCGATTTAAGCAGCCTTTATTTAGGCAATCCCTTATAAAGCAGAAAACCAATTTCATTTCATTTCAATTTTTTTATATGGAATGGGATTCAAATAGAGGTGTAATTTTCGTCTCCAAGAGCGAGTTTCTAAAGAGAGAAAAAAAACATACCGTGAAATAACATCAGCAAGAGAGCAGTTTTAATTAATTTTAGTTCAAACTAGTAAAATAGTGTTCTTACTGTTCCATCTTTTTCTTCTTTGAGTTAAAAAACCACCTGTTTTAGTGATAACTGATTTAAAGATAAGACACGTAGTTTTTCTGCCATCAAAGACTTTATAATATTACATGAGAAATTCCTACAATTTGATTGGCTGAGGGGAGTGGAACACTTGATAGTATACAAATAGAAATACCAGAGACGGAGATTGGTACCGGCGCACAAACAAGGTGCTCCGATAGTCGGCACTGCTACAAAGCTAATGGCGCGAAATATTGTGATGATGATAATGATGATATGCATGATGACGATGGTGATGACGTTGATGGTGATGATGATATGGATGATGACGATGGTGATGACGTTGATGGTGATGATGATATGGATGATGACGATGGTGATGATGATATGGATGATGACGATGGTGATGATGATATGGATGATGATATGAATGATGATGATATGTATAATATGTATAATAAAAGAAAGTTGGAATAAAGTCATTACAATTAATCATGGCNGGCGCACAAACAAGGTGCTCCGATAGTCGGCACTGCTACAAAGCTAATGGCGCGAAATATTGTGATGATGATAATGATGATATGCATGATGACGAAATGATGATGAGTGATGGTAATATTCATTATGATGATGACGATGGTGATAACGATGATGATGATGATGATATGGATGATGATGACGTTGATGATGATATGGATGATGATGACGTTGATGATGATATGGATGATGATATGAATGATGATGATATGTATAATATGTATAATAAAAGAAAGTTGGAATAAAGTCATTACAATTAATCATGGCTCACTTCAGAGTGCATTAATTAAGCTTGACGTCTGGTAAATTGCTGGTTTTCAATCATCGTTCCCAAGGAAATGAAATAACAATGTTTTGAACTATTACTAAGTCGGTCCAGCTCAACCCTTCGCTAGCTGTCTAACAGTGTGTTACTCAGTAGAGCAAGCAGGTGGATGGTATGTCAACATGGATAAGATGGATAAGTGCAGGATGTAATATGAGCTAAAAGACAATTGACTCTGAATATAGCCACCTTTTCTTTAGCCTTTTTAATAAAAAAACCCTTACAGCTTCGATCGATCCAAAACGTCAAAAGCATCAATATGCATATGGGCTCAAATATTTTATTTGAATTTTTCTTTTCTTTCAGTCGCCACGCATCAATTCCTCGTTTCTGGTTCAATATCTGTAATAATTGACTTTTTAGGGACTAGTACTTATTATTCGTAGTTTTAGGCGGACCGGTACTTGTCACGATTGACCACCTTAGGTGTTTTATTTATATCAGCTGATACTTGGACTTATTGTCACTGTAACTACAAGAACCTCCGAGATCCAAGGAATATCATAATAATAGATGATAATGGAAACATTGTCGTTCAACTAAACTAGGAGGGTTTCTAGCAAGACATATCGAATATGGATCATGAGAATGGGAATACATCGGTCGATAACGTATGCGGAACATTTCAATCTATTTGGGCCGACTACAGCGATCGACTGGATCGAAATGTCTACATCATCAATGCTACATTTAGTGTCATATTCTGCTTTCCTACTGTGGCTATCAACTTGATTCTGTTTATAGCTGTTTGGAGAACATCAACACTCCGTACGCCATCCAACATTCTTATTTGTGTATTGGCAATCACAGACTTGTGTGTTGGGATTGTGGAAATGATCTTCGCTGGTTTATTGTTCAGTATGATCACAAATGCAATACAAACTATTAAATGTGTTCTTGCAGTGTTGAGCCGGCTTCTAGCAAACATGTTCGCCGAGATGTCCTTTCTGACCTTCACGGCCATCAGTGTGGACAAACTGTTGATGGTTCATTTTCACCTCAGATACAACACTCTTGTCACAATTCCTAAAATCCTCATAGCTGTGACTGTGATATCATGCTTGTGCGGTGGAATAGCAGCGTTGAACTTCATAAGCATAAAACTCTACACTGCTTTCATCGCTGTAATCACCTGCACTTGTTTCATCGTCGCATTCATTTCCTACAGTAAAATCTACCGTACAGTGATACGACATCAACAGGAAATCCACGAACAGACGATGGCTGTTGCTACGAGGGGGGGCAACAACAAGGTGCTGGAGCTGGCTCGATTCAAGAAGCGTACGTTTAGTATGATGTGCATCTATTGTATTTTTTTATTATTTTATTTCCCGTACATTTTGATAATCATTATAATGATGACTTTGAAACAAGAAAACACTACCCTTGCTGCAGCTAAGATCTACTCCATTACTTTCATCTTTCTCAACTCGTTTGTCAATCCTTTGCTCATCTGTTCGACAATGAGAGAGATACGAAAAGCGATGAGACACATGCTAAGCATTACAAAGCAAAAAAAGAATGGAACATAATCTATGGCAGAGTTTGAGGTCTTTGAGATACTGTATATAGAAAGGCAGACGTGCGGTCGGTTGGACTGACCCGCCACTACTTGTGAATTATTGGATTTGCTCTCTCTCTCCTTCCTCCCTAAAAAAACAACTTCTAAAATTACGAGCTCTGAACCTAAAACTGATTGCCTCAGATTGTCACTCGAAAACGAATTAATGGGATCTTTACTTTAGAGCTTTTTAACGTTAAGTGCATGTTTCCAGAATTTTTTCGCTTGTCAGGATATATAAGTTGAAAATAGTCAGTTTTAGGAGGTAAACCTAGTCTTGCTATGCATCCGGTGCTCAAGACTGTCACTAGCATGCTCTTCCTTTTCTGTCAAAACTTGTTTATGAGCATCAGGGCACCGGTAAATGATTATATCCCACTGTTTCGTTCGCCTCTAGAACATGTCTTTAAAATGATGAATAACCAATGAAATAAATCATCTTTGTAGTGTGTCAAACATGACGTGTCACTGCTGATAGAAAAGCTATATACTTATCCAATTAAAAGACGAGGTAGAACTGCTTACGTCAGTTGGTCCTTCCTGGTAGAAACTTCACTCATATCGGTCTTACTGAGCCCCGTATTGTTGGTCAGCGGGTTTGCCCATGGCAAGGACCACACTACGTCATTCGTTGCTAAGTAGTATCCAAGCACGTGACTTACTTGTGCAAAGGGTCTAGTTAATCGTTATTTAGTTTCATCAAAGGAAACTTTCTTTTTGTGCTAAAGATTACTGTTTCATCCGGAGACGGTTTTATATTTTTTGTATCTCACAACCTCAAAACATGTTTACCATCTGGTTTTTACGCGAATTTCACTCAAAACAAACAAAGTGTTTAACAACATTAACGATTTACCTAATGATCTATTTATTTTGGTTATATTAGTGAACAAATTGATCAAGCCTTTTTTTGGTAAAGTATTAATTGATTATCGTGAGGATCTTCCAACGTTTTGGTCGCCTCCACCGCAATACATTCGGTAACATACAGTAAAGAAGAGAAAGGAAAAAAAAAGAGAAAGAAAAGAAAAGAAAAGAAAAATTACAGTGTTAAAAAAGATTACCAATACATTCGGTAACATACAGTAAAGAAGAGTAAAGAAAAAAGAAAGAAAGAAAATAGAAGAAAAGAAAAGAAAAACTGGTTATAACGGGCTCAGAAACAATACATTTTTTTGACAGTTCAACTTTAATTAAAATTTCGATTCAAACTTAATTAAGATTCAATTATTATTCAATTAAATTCTACAATATCTGGTGGGATTGATTTCATGGCTTATAAACTACACTTTGGTCCCATAATTCAGCTCGGTCTGAGCTTCGCCATTTAGACACCTTAGCTGATTACCATAATTACGTAAGAGCTCTTATTTGCTGTCCTTGTTTCTAACGAGATCACGTATTTGTCATTTTAAAATGACGACCATCAAAGGATGTGTTCATGTTGACGATTTTCATTAATTAAGATTCAATTATTATTCAATTAAATTCTACAATATCTGGTGGGATTGATTTCATGGCTTATAAACTACACTTTGGTCCCATAATTCAGCTCGGTCTGAGCTTCGCCATTTAGACACCTTAGCTGATTACCATAATTACGTAAGAGCTCTTATTTGCTGTCCTTGTTTCTAACGAGATCACGTATTTGTCATTTAAAAATGACGACCATCAAAGGATGTGTTCATGTTGACGATTTTCATTAACGAACCAGCTTTAAAATCTGTACACTTGCGTCATGATGGAACCAGCTAATGCTTGGATAATTCGGTTCTGATTGACGAGTTAATCTCTGGAAATTAATCAAAGTTTTCAGTAATTGATTCCTTAAACCGATATAATCAAGTTRCGAATGACAAAGAAATGGTTGAAAATTAGCCCACTTAACTTGTATTGTATAATACTATTTTTGGTTTGTGTTTGGATTGACTCGTAAAAAACTAAGACCTTTTTTCGCTGGCGTGCAGTGAGAGCATGCTGTCGTACGAATAGTGAATAAAAAATCTACTTCTATCAGAGGTCATTTAGTCTACTGCCAATTTACAAGATATTTTGTTAAGTTCATTTAAGGTTGACTGACATGTTACAAATTCTGAAAGGCCGATGTTTATTTAGTTGAGTACAAAAGAGTTCTTTATGAATCTATAATGCGCTAGTAAGCTAATCCTATACTAGAAGATGAGTGTCACTAAAAGTGCACCGTGTTCTGTCCTGTTTTGCTACTAAACCGAGCTGTTTTTCCTTCATACGTGGCTTTATAACTGAGTTGTGCCCAGGAGAGTTCCAAGATTGTGGAATCTTGTGTTTTGAATCATGAATAATGAGCTTAAAGATCCGCTTGAGAAAGTTAGCAACTCTCTTCGCAGGGCAGTGAGTGTCAACAAATCTCGGGAAAGTGATCTGAGGAGTAAAGTGAATACCATTCAACGTGAACGAAGACAAAGCATGAATAGTTGGTCACTGAAGCAGGAGAAATTCCTCCTAGCCAAGCTCAAGATGATGCCTGCTATTGGCCTGGGGAAGCCGAGTGAAAGACGAGAAAGAGAACAAGCTAATCTAGCAAAAATGAGGAAAATAACTATGACACGGGGAGTCTTGCCTGTCACTATGGAAGAAACTGGAATATATTCTACAGGTGAAAAAGAGACTTCTGTTTCTCAAAAAGACCTCCATTCTTCATCAAGAAATCCCCTCCCCCCACTACTACCTCAACCACCAAAAAAAAGAACTTTATCGGAGAGTAGACCGTATGGTTTTTATTTACCACAAACAAGAACAATTGAAGAAGTTTCCAAAACTGATCAAAAATTTTTGAACAATTTTCAAAAAACGCGTAAAGTTAGTGAATACAAGTCTCCAGTTCACACGTACCTCTACGGAAACCGCGAGGAAGAGCAAGAAGCTATCCGACATAAGCTATCCGTTAACGAGCTTCAAAATGCTGCACATCTCGCGAGGAAGGTCAGTTGCTATGGCGCTCCAAAACTTGAGCAGGATAAAATAATGGAAGACATTGCTGAAGAAGGGGAGGACGCCACAGACAAAACTGTTCAAGAAAGAACAAATTATGAACAAGCCAGTAATCCAGGTAACTCAGAATCGAGAGAGCGGCAGAGCAAGCATTCTTTACCATCTATTTCTGCGGTCCTACCGACCGAAAATGAACAGGGRAATAAGAGGGCAATACGTCACTGGCGAAAGATAAGAGAATCTTTATCAACTATCGTTGGGAGGGAGAAAAAGAAAGATATCACTAAGATGTCTATGCTGGAGTTGACAAGCCTGTTTGAGGGTATTAGAGACTGTAGGTATTTACGTGTTGGGGCTCACACGTCTTACAGGGGAGACAGTGTCGATAGTAAACATTGCAGATGTATTGCTTGTACGGTGGTCGACAAAACGAAACTCAGAAATAATCTAGGCGCACCTGAATAACGTATCTATTCGTGCATGTAGTTGAACATGTAAGGTTATAAATGGTCGATCTAAGCTTCGGGGAAGCTTTCAACGAATTGAAGGTCTGGTTTTCTTGGATGACAGAACAAAAGAACCCTGTGTGTTTTCGTCTTTTACCTGAATAACGTATCTATTCGGACATGTAGTTGAACATGTAAAGTTATAAATGGTCTCTAAGCTTGCGATGCTTCTACCTCAACAAAGGTCTTTCATATACTTGCTGTCAAAACTCGACTGGTTTTCTTGGATGACAGGACAAAAGAATCCTGTGTGTTTTTGAGTATATCTTCTTAGGAAAACGCTTTATTGTAAACAAATCTCATGTACAATAGACTTGGTTTTACATGTAGTATACTATTTAAATATATGTACAGCATTAAAAAATGAGCCACTCAACATAAAAAATTACATTTAAAAAATTATAGTTTTTTTAGTTAAATCCTGGGCCTTTATGGGCCTGTATGGTACATTCAGTACTGACGGATCATACTTTATGCATGATGGTTCCTACTTTACAATTACAAACCAAATACAAACAGTTTACAAAATATCATTTTTGCACTTCTCTACGATAGTAGATAACTTAAAACCCATATTCAAACATACACAAGATTTTTCAGAGAAAAATATCTACCAAAACGATAAGATACGAAAGCACACATTAACACCAATGAACTGAAAGCATCTGGTCTAGTTTTAGTTGTCTAATCCACACAGTAAGGCCACACCACGTTTTATCCAGTGGTTCTCTGGTTTGTCTGTTGGGAGTAATATTGGCATGACGTAGTTGGTTGAATGTCCTGTTGTAGATAAGGTACCTCGACGTTCGCTTGTCTTGTAGACAGGACAATGATAACATGACGCCTCCTTAAATTCTGATATTTTACCTACGATATAACGAGACATGAGTTACAAGTCTTGAATATAAAAAAGAGTTTGAAAAAAAAGAAGTGAGATAAGGTATTAATACTCTCGTTGTCGTTACTATAGTTACCTGGTTTGATGTGAATGACAGGCATGACGTCATGTAGGATTTTAGGGAGAGATTCACCGATGACACCCCTGGAAACGAACATGCAATAGAAGTTACGGCAAGGTTTGCAGATAGCCGGCAATCGTTATACAAATTTTCAAAAAGTCAAATACTAACAGTAACAAAGAATGTTACTGAATTAAGAATGAATGGGATGGAACAAATGCATGGGATGCGATGGGACGGACGGACAGATAGATGGATGAAGGAGTGCGCACAAAGTAAAAGCACTGCCCCACAAACTTTAAGTTTATTTATCTACTGTCTATCCGTAACCAGGTTATTTTCGTTTTGAGTTTCAACTTTACCTTTTCCTGTCCCATCGGGCTCCCTCCAAGAACAATCCATGCACATAGACGCCATCATCTGGTGGCGAGTCAGCTGTGTCTTTGGTAAGCACATCAAACTCAAAACCCAACAAGTCAATAGGAATGGTGTACTTCCTGGCGTAGTTTTGTTTAGCACCTGTCAGAAAAGCCTAGACAAAACAAACGACGAATGTTTATAGTGTTAGATTAATCTGTATAGGTAACTGGCGGGAAGGAAAAAAGATGAATAACAGACTGCGGGTTAGTTTACCTGGGTAAAGAAGAATCCAGATATCCAGAACACCACTGGCTTATCTTTATCATACCAGTCCTAAGTAAGAAGGTAAGATATATCACAACATTAAAACATAAGTCAATAAAAAAAAAAAAAATTTCTGTGTTGAAAGAAATTAGCGCACGCGCGCGCGCTACAGTAACGTTACTTTTTGACAGTGAAACGACACGGTCACGGTCCGCAATCACGACATCCTTTGAACCAATCACAGCACGCCAATCACTTCTACTATCCTGTTAGTAAAAATACTAACCTGTAGAAACTTAAGTCGAGCGAGAAAATCACTGATGTAGCTGCCAAGAGGTTTGAGACTTGGATAGGAACGCTTCATCCACATTTCAGGCACCTAGAAAAATAAAAGACCAGATTAGGCAACATAGCTCATGTGAGTGTGAATCTGTCTTGGTGATCATCTACTGGCTGTAGTTGCTCTGCTTTGGGGTGTTCTTGAATGTTATTTCGGCGGGTTACCTGTGTTGGGTATGAATCCAGATGAGACTGGAATGAACGAGCATTCTCTCCCAAACCTCCTCCCTCCTTTTTGACCACAAAGGAATCCCGAGCGCCAAAAAAATAAAGAGACGGAGAGAAGCCTAGCAGTGGAGGAGGTTAGTGTGATTAAATATAGAATGTAATGGATGTGAGTGTATATAAGGTTGTATATATAAGTATTAACTTCTCCTACTCACCTTCCCAACAAGTAAACTACCAGCCAACGCTTCCAGTTCAGAGTTCATCACTACTAGACCCTTGATTGCCTTTAGGAGGTTTTGAAGACTCGAACGAATGATGTTCATCAAACTGTTGAAAAACAACACCAATTATATTCGTGACAATATATTACCAAGCTCCTTTCTCTGTAGTATGTAATATAACTTTTTAATGAATTTTTTTTGTCCTCCAGCATGTCCGCCGTGAAACCTTTTTGTCAGTAGTTTATAGTTACATTTATTTAACTAAAATGTCTTTCTTTATTTTGTACTCACTTGTTAAATCTTTCCATCTCTTGTACCAGGACAGTATTCATACTCTCTTCGTATGTCACTGGATATTTTTTCAAAGCCTCTTCCAAGTCGAAATTATTTGGAAGCTAAAGCAAAAAAAAWAWTATTATTATTATTATTATGGCAACGAATAAATTTTTTTCTACTGTAAAATATCATAAATCAATTTTGGTTATAACTCGCACCTTGCAACACAAGTATTCTTCTATTGCACGTTACTTCATCGCGGCCATGTTGGTGGTATTAAACAAAAGAGTTCTTATTAGCATCCATTGTTAATGCCACCAACATGACTACTATGTTTTTGTCTTTTGACTCTCTTGGGAATGCTTGCAACCCATCAATAAGCATAAGCATAAGAAACATGTGCTCTTTGGAGTTCGAATACAAGGTAAGCAACGGTTCACATACCTTGGAAAGAATGTCTTTAGCAATTTCCAACAGTGTTTCTTCAGTTTTCTTCCCAGCGCCTCCACCAGCACCTTGTGCTTGGGTTAACAAAACAGAATCGAACAACTAAAAAAACAAAATAGCACAGCCAATGAGTACATGTAACGATAAAAGAATTGAGAGGTAGAGAAGATTTGACTGTTGTAAATGACACATACGTTTCGTGTTTCTTGTAGTTCTTTAGAGATGTCAACATTGTCGTGCATACCAAACACTTCTGGTGACTGTGTCTGTGGAAGGTCCTAGAGTAGCAAACAAAACTTAGAAGTGCTAATAATAAAAAATATTAATAAAATAAAATATATATCAACAGCTCTTTGTTATGGTGGGTGGTCTACGTAGCCGAGTGAATGGGGAAGCAGACTCCTCCTCTCCCCATTCTCCCTCACACAGCTAAACCACCTTAGCTAAAAATTCTTACCTTGATAAACTCTACATATTCATCGTACGTCCCTTTCGGAGGCGCGTAATAATTCCCGCTGTGAGAGAATTTGTACTTAGGGTCGTTGATGATATCAGAGACGTAGAAATCAGCGAGAATGCTCATTAAACAGCGTCTAGGAAGAAAAAGAAGGCGAAAATATCAATATAAGGCAAAGAAATAAGCATAAAAATTCCTGTTCTTCAAGATTAGATTTTGATTGCGCAACATTGCGCAATCTCAAGGTTATACCAGTTTTCATAATTTCCCAATCAAAACACTACAATTACTAACCAAAGCTCCAAAGATCTTAAACCCAGACGTCTTGGAGCTGTATTTGGTCGCGCAATGATAATAATGGATCTAAGAGCATACATTTATACTGAAAATGTGGTGGTGTTTATACTATAGCAAGTCATTATAAACACATACCTGTCATTATCATCAGTTACTCTGCCACCATAATTGCATTCGCCGGTCAGGTACGTCACAGCATCGAATGGGATCTCTTCGTATTCGTTAATGAACATCTAAAACAAAGACAAAAAAGATTGTAAAATGATTAGCATCGAGTGATTGTGATTTGATTTTAAGTATATTTTGAACATACCTGTAGCTGTCTAACGCTGATACGTAAATCTGACTCGTTGAATCCATAAGGGATGTTCCATCCAAGAGGACCAAACTTCCTTCTCTCTTGGACCAATGCGTGGAAGAAACACAAACCGAACAACAGCTTCTCCCAGATCTAGTAATAACGACAATTTGTTAATAAGTAGATAGACGCTGAAGTGAAGCCAACTAATGATCAACTCTACCGCGATCAAATGGTATGTTCTGTGGACTTGAGGTTTGTATGGACCCTTCTCAAAATATTTAGTATGCAAGGACGTATGCACGGCTATCATGAAAATAGAAAAGAAATGATACAAATTTCATTGAGAAAAAGTGCGTTTTCAATTGTATTTTTCTGTTAGTCTTGCCTTTAAGAAAAATTTTTGAGGTCGGCATAATTTTAGTACAAGTGTTATATATATTGTAATCCAACTCATAACTAACTGTGATAAGCTATTATGCATTATTCATGTTATTGTAAATGTAAGACCAGACGATCATTACCTGTGATTTGTTTCCACAACCAGCAAAGAACTCGGGATCAGAGATGGGATCGTTGAGATAAGACTGCAGCAAGTTCTGTCTCAGTCCTGTGGGAGGCTCGTTGGTCATCTTGACTCCATTCTGGAGCACAGTCACTGGGAACTGTGAAGACATGAATACATGCAATAGTTGAAAGAGAAAACAAACTTTTCTGAGTGGTAAAGAAAGAGAGAATGTTGATGGAAGAATTGATGGAAGGAGGAATGAATGGATGGAGAAATTGATGAAAAAAGGGGGGAAGGGAGGGAGGGAGTAAGGGAGGGAGGGATGGAATGGCATGAATGGTTGGAACACTATTAGAGAAAGAAAGACAGCCAGACAGAAAAGGCGCAATTGGTACATAGTACTCGGACATTTTTTTACCTTGTTGGACGGGTAGCTTGTCAACCATAATCTAAAGTCAGGGTTAGTATTTTCTAGACTCAGATCCTCACAGATCTTTTCTAATGACGTCATCCAGGACACCGCTAAATGACAGTTCTGTAGTACCACCCATGAACCGTTCTGCATGGCTTCTGATATCAGTTTTGCTGCTACAGGACCCTGGTTAATAAGTAATGGTAATCATTGCATTATTATATACTGAGTGATTTGTAAAGGTAAACCTTAATCGAACTCTGAAAGAACATACATCTTCGCTGATACGAGTCGGGTCACGACTAAGGCTCAGGTCAAACGTCGAACTTCACATGAGGCAAACCTAAATGAAACAATGGATAACAAGGCGGTCTCCTGTGATGTTATTAAGTTCGGCTCATGTAAAGTTCGACGTTAGACCTGAAACTAATTCACAAATGGAATTGGAATTAAACGTGTTATGTTTTGCGGACGAATCAAGGGAGAGATCTAATAAACCCTACTGACCTGTCCCTGACCAAGAGATATGGCATTAAACTTATCACCACTGAATCCTTTATCACCAGCAAACTTCATTAGACCTGAAATACAAAATGTACCCATCCAATAAAATATTCCGGCGGGGGAAAAATACATATATATCCGAAGACAAACATATATATCCAAATCTTAAACGAAAACGAAACAGACAACTATTTATAATCCAAGATGTCTAGGTTTTTGGCTTCCGTCAATCAAATTTGAAGTCTGAAAAGATACCTCGATGTCTTAGACTGTGTAGAGGAAAATATATTTGAGCTATATATTTGTACTGCGGTTGTAATGTATCTAAGTGAGCTGATCCTCGCAGTATATCAAGCAACTTATGCAGCTGCAAATTTTAAGACTCCGAAAAAATTTGCAACCTTGGACCGTGTTGGTCGCGCGTTATTATGAGTATTGAGAGTAAAGAAGAGAGATGCACGTGTATTAGAAAAATTTTCCTCTGATGTTATTTACCTGCCATAGGATCAGCACCAGGGGAGAGAATAAACAGAAGAGGAGCGCAAGCATTCGAATCCAAGTAGCTCTTGGCTAAATCAAAAGGTGGTGGTTGAACAAACTTGACACCTAATTTGTCTTCGACGAAGTTCGTTACAAGAGGTACAACCTGGTGAACAAGACAAATATAGGAATCGTTTAATCATTAAGAGCGATAAAATAGCATTGATGATTGATTCTATTTCTGCGCAGAGAGAAATCGAAGATGTGTATTTCACTGTATAACACAAGACTTTCCATTCCAAACTAATAGCTACTTGTCCAATCAGAAAGATTCTTCGAGTGCTTTCTACATCACGCTAAGCCAATCACGTCTCTTTTTTACTCTTCAATGATACCCAGATTGACAGGTGTCAATCAATATAATATATGTTGATTGACACCTCAAAAAGTGTTTTTTTCTGAAAATGACACTTGTCGAAAACGTTCAAAGCTTCAAACAAACTTTTACTTTTGCCTATACCGTATATATTTTTGAAAAATTCTTATCAGCGAATTATAATGACATCCAATATGAGATATCTATAGTTTTTAATGGATATAAGATAGTTATACCTTATCAGGTCTCAGACATCTAATAACAATCATTTTCTGGAAGTCTGTTAACTGCTCAGACCAGGGAGCAGGGAACGGTGCGCGGTGTGGTTCTTTGCTGTCGTAGATTTTGCGCCACTCGTAGGYGTTGTTACTGAAGCTTTTTCTACAAAAATAAAAATAAAAAGTCATTTGCCATCCATTATTGCTGTCTGATTTAGTGATCCAGACGTCTAGGCTATATCAAGAGTGCAAAAACTTACCTAAAGTCTTTGAAACCAGGCAGATCACACATTCTGCATACTTCATCCCAGGATCTGTCTGATAGCCACGATGGATCCGGATTTTCGAGCTAGGTGAAAAATATGAAATGGGAGAAGTTGTTAGAACAGCAACTAAAGAATCGTATACTAGGAAGATACGAAAGATAGCATTAGATTTGACTGTATGGTACACGGTAATGGTGCGATTATAGATGAACTTTTTTTTTACCAATCACAGCGCGCGAAGGTATTGCTCAGGCAATGAAAATGCTCTGACATTGATACCGTCACGGGCACGGCACGGCACTAAATGTATCCTTTAAACCAATTACAGAGCATGAAATCACTGCTCAGCCTATAAAAATGCTCAGACACAGGTACCGTCACGGTCACGGCACGGAACTAAAGATATCCTATCAACCAATCACAGCGCGCGAAGTCAATACTCAGCCAATGAAAATGCTCAGACACAGGTACGGCACGTGAGAAGTTGAAGTACAAACCTTATTTTCCAGTCCTACTCCTCCAGTCAAGAAGAACATAAACTCATCCATGTCCAGTTCTGACTTGGATTTAAGAATGTTACTGCACAACACGAAGGAGAAGAGCAGCTTGTCTTTCTCGAACAGCGATCTGCACACATTACAGTACAAGTTGTACGTAAAGTGATCGCTGAGGTAACGAAGACGTCTTTCAAGAATCTTGGACTTGTTACTGAAAAGAGAACAGATAAACATCACGTTCAAAATCATTAACTTTTATATAAACTCTTTGAGGGATTAAATGATAAAATGCGATATTCGCATATCCTGATCAAATCAATCGCGTCAGGGGTTTTTTGTCATTACAAAGAACCAAAAGTACAAACCAAAACATCTTTGCGATTTATTTCACAGGAGTGCATCATAAGGATCACGCATCACCCTTGAAAGTATGGAATGAGTGAAGTGGGGGACTTGGCTTTGAAAATATAAGAGACTAGTAAGACAAGTATGCATAAGACTGAAGGTGGAGGGGCTGAGGGCGTATTCCTTGCCCCTGCTCCTGCCCCTGCCCCTCTCTCTCCGCAGTCTCTCCAACAAGAAATTTGCTTGCCAGTATTACCTCACCTTACCATAAAACCATCAATCTCAATATAAAYGTGATAGGTTCGTTGACATACCTGTCGTGTATGGAGTTAAGGAAGAGATTGACATACCAAGTCAATGAATACTGGTACATAGGATCAATATTAGGCAGGTCAGTAATGGAGAAGAATAACACTGACGCATGTGCCGCAATGGGGTTATACCCACGACGGGACTCGTTGATCTTTGCTTCTGTTTCGTCTGCGATCTGACATAGAGATAGTAACATTCATATTATGTCATCTTTATTATAAAATAACTTTTATAAATCTAGCATTTTCATTGGTTGGAGGCGCGTGCTTTATAAGAGTACATAGCACGCGCCTGCGCACTTTCAGTTTCGTTTGCAAACTGACGTCGAGAAAGTAATGAAATTCAATATCATCTCTAATATCAATTAATATCACTTGCTCGTAATCATTGTAACCGTGCTAGATGTAGAAAACGAGAACTAGTGGGGGAGGGGTGGGTGTCAATATTTTATGAGGCTCATAAGTAGTTGATAGATGACGAAATTTTTCGGACTCCTTTTTGCTATAACTCTTCAGAAATCAATGATAAACTTCCCAAGTGGCTTTACAGTGTAAGATTTTGATTGTTTTATTAGAAAATCCAGTCATGAGTTTACTGACTCTGTGTTTCACTTACTTTCTGTTTTTTAGATATCTCATCTGACAAAACCTGCGTAAGAAAGAAAATACCATCAATACTACCGAACATATATACTGAATCCTAGTTAAGGTAGTATATTATATACAAAAGGATTTGATTCCCATACCTTGGAGGAATCAAGGATCTTGATAGCCGTCTCATCCTCTAGAATATTTCCCTCAGAAGAAGACAGCGTTTCAAGGATTTTATCTTCAATCTCTTTAAGTTGTTTTTTGTTGGCAGCACTTTGCACGATTAATGCCTGACGCTCCTCCTCTAGATCAGGTCTGTGACATAAGATATTCAAAATAAACGCAGGTATTCAAAAAACTGCTACAAATGAATACAATCTAGGAGCAGAATATCCTGCAAATATGTGTAGCAGTATACAGTACATTATAACATAGTCACGATAAAACGCGCGCTCTGATTGGGTGGTTATGCATGAACAAGAAATGGATGGAACATAGCCTTGATGATACGCGCGCTGTGATTGGATGGTCATATATGAACAAGAAATGGATGGAACATAGCCATGATGATACGCACGCTCTGATCGGATGGTTATATATGAACAAAAATATGGATGGAACACGTGCGCACTAACGTCAAAAAATATTTACAACCGTTTCCTTCTCATGGTAAGCTAAAGCTAAAGTTGATTAAAGTCCAGAGTCTCCTAACCTTTCTTTGGCCACAACGATACCAAGCAACTGGTCCTGTAAACCCTCGGGTGTTATCATGAAGTTCAGTAATGTTACTTTGGTTGATAGCTCGGGAAGGTAATGAGGATTACGTAGCTTGGTAGTAATGTAGAATCTGAAGTCAGCAGAGTATTCTATCACAGATTCTCCTAGACGAATGCAGGTCACGCCCCCTGTCAATCAGAATAGTCAGTGTTATAGTCAGCCGCATATATAGAAATAAGGTGATAAGGATCATGTAATGCAACGCGAAAAATGCAATTTATCTTACGTAGATGATGCAGGAGTGATTGTTTAGTCTGTCAGGCTACACGAGCAAGAAGCCGATGAATGCAGCGCTTGACTCCAGATAAAATTGGAATGTTGACCGTTTTTTTWAAATTTAACACCTCGATGCACAGGAACCAACAATGAAACACAACTCTCATTTATATATGATGGATGAATTTGTTACCTTGCTTGAAGGTTTGTTTTAACAACAAAGGTTCTAGTGAAGGGTCGAGTTCTTCGCCTACATTTTCTAGTAGAACCGGGTTACCAAACTGTATGCTGTTCTCCAAGGTACGAATGTAATCTGAATCTGTCAGCTTGATGACCTGTTGAAACATTTATGATTAGTGCTCAAGAACTTATGCAGAAGATCATTTTAAAGCGCACCATGGTTTCCAGAGGGTCTCTCGCTCCGGTGTTCCTCGGTCGTAGGATTAGTTATCGCGAAGGACTTGGGCGAGAGAGCCTCTGGAAACCATGGTACGCAAAGCGCATCACCCCCGTGAACTCACCGATAGCTGACAATCTTTTTCTGAATTTTTTATCCACTTGTTGGCCTGGCCTTGTGGATCTATCATTAGAGGCCTGAGAAAAATATACCAAGTTATTATCATTTATCAATAAGCAATTAATATTATCTGAATTTTTATCCACTTTTTGGCCTGGCCTTGTGAATCTACCTGGTAAGTAATATAACAAGTTTTTAATATTTATTAATGATTATTAATGTTATCTGTAAATGAAAAATTTAGTTCTCACCATCTTCTAGCGCTGTCCACTATAACACCATTATCAATAGAGAACGAGTCCGTGGGTAGACCAGCAATGTTCCACGCTCTTATCTTGATCGCTTCACCGAGGGTCTTACTCAAGGAGAAATCATCTGAGCAGGGGATGTTCTTGGACTACGATGAAATCATCACCAAATATCATAAGTTAAATATCACCCATTTTCATATATAATTGACCTTTTTAGCTTTGTATGCAAATTGTCCATTCCAGATCACATGACATTCCCTTGAGAATTGTTCTTTTATGACGAATGTGTTAAAATATTTACACATGAAAGAACCAACTCCTAATGTGGCATCACATGTACACAACAAACAAAAAAGGTCTATTACGTGACCAAGACAGCTCAAGATTTCTGGGTTTTTGGTTTCGGTGAATCGAAAAAAAAAACGAACTCAGACTGTTGCCAAAATTTCAGACATCTTGGATGGCTAGTTGTATGGGTTGCGCAATTATGAAAATGGGTACAATATACCTTGTATACACATGAAACATACTGATATTCATTGCATCTCGAAGATTAATTACCTTACAAATACTGGTCCAATCATGACAGCATTCTTTCCTGAATCCAGCAGTAAACGCACCCAAATACGCGATAACACCAGAAGATATCAAGACATCACCAGTTAAGTTATCATAAATATCCTGTAAGGACCGCGCTGCTTGTGACCAGCGGTCTTTTTCACCTCCCAAACCTCCTATCAGCTTCTCTGCGCGTACAAGCTTCTTTGAGCAAAGGTCGACCTAAAGTAAATAAAAAAATAATCGAAAGAATTAAGATGACCAAAGTATTAAGGTGACTGCCTACTTTTGGAAATTGATTTAAACTTTTTTTAAAACTTCGATTTTTCGAATTAAAATTTAATGCTGATTCCAAATCTGGAAAGAAAAATAGGGTGTCCCGAGCTCGTTTTCGAGATAATCAGCTTTTAATGGAAGCCTATGCACGAGCTTTTGGAGTAAAAATTGCGCCACCGGAAGTGATTAGAAAAAAATTAAGATTCATAAGATAATAGTTATTTGCAGACTCTATGATTGCACGAATGAAGGCTAGTCAATCATTCTACAATAATACATGGATATTTTCGACATAAAAACAAAAAAATACATTGATGCGTCATACTTTGTAGTTTCGGTGCTCTTAAAAAATCTCATAAAGTCGAACAAAAATCCCTACAAAAACCTAATTTTTCATGTGTTACTGATTTAAACTTTTTCTAAAATGTTGATATAACCTAGATTTTTAGGAGTTTTTTCTAATGAGCTATGAAAAAATAGAGAGTCCCGTGCAAAATTYGAGGGTTTTGCCCTGTTGAAGCTCACAACGCGTATGGTTCTTCAATAAAATCTTGTAGATTTTCAGCGGTTTTTGAGCGCGCGCTCATCGTGGGCTCAATTCGAACGTTCAAAAGTAGGCAGCCACCTTAAGGTGTTTTAAAGATTTAATTTGTGTTTCTTCAAGCATCTTTTTCAGCGGGATTCGAATCCTTGACCTAAACTAAATATATATTAGTAAACTGCGTGTACTATTTCATTGTACCTGGAATTCTAGTTGTTCTTTCTTCTCTGTGGTTTCCTGGAACTGTTCTTTAAGGGTGGCAAGTTTGGCCTCGACCTCAGCTAGTTCCTGTCGCTTGGCATTCAACAGGATCATGGTCTCTGCTAGCGATGATTCTGCTTCTGCAAGACGCAGCTTCTTTGGAGCTACAACCTGTTAAAGTCGAATGATATTAATGAATATAATGGTAAAATGCCGGTTACGGGTTAAGTTCATGCATTAATTAACATCATTATCAGAAAACAGCATCTACATCCTCATCACCACCATCACCACCATCAATACCATTATCGTCACCATGATCATCATCATCAACACTACCATGATCACCACCATCATCGTGACCATCATCATCACCATCCTCATCACCACCACCACCATCTTCATCACCATCACCAACACAATCATTAACATCATCAACATCSTCATCACCATAATCATCATCATCAACATCGTCATCACCATAATCATCATCATCATCAATCATCACCGTCGCAGTCGTTGTCATCATGACCACCACCATCTCTAGTCTCTACTATTATCGATATGAATAATGAAGAGTAATAATACCTTTGCCACCCGGTCATAGATCTCCAGAGCAATAACCCATTTACATAAACCTTCAGCAGCAGACGAGGCGGCCTTGACTTTAACAGGATCAAAGTCAGGGTTGGGGATATACTCTTTACGGATCTTTGCCATGATATGGGTCTGGAAGCGGTAAAAGTAAAAAGACATAACGATATTAAAACAAACATTTAACCAAACCCATTGGTATCTGTAATACCGAGAAAACAGGTTATGAGTGCATTGGTGCATCAACATTTTCAAAGGTTTTAAGTAACTAAAGAACGACATCAGGAAAGCAGATCTATTCGAAGCTAGTGTCTGTCAAGAGATYGAAAGAAATCTTCGTATTCCGTCAAGGTGCAAAACGCACGCCATTAGCCATTCCGAGGTCGAGGGGGAAAAAGCCGAGTTGGTATTGCAGTGCATTGTGGGACTTTTTGGGGGACGAAATAAACGCCAGCTTGGAAATGTGTACCATAAAATAGTACCACAATGACTACTCGACCCAGTTGTTTGCTCAACCTCGTCATGCTAATTAACGTCCTTCTTTGATTAATCCGTGCTAGTACTTACAGGAATATTGTCTTTGTCGTATTCCTTCAAGCTAGTGAGGAAGGTCATATCACCCAGTAATCTCTTGGATGGACCCCAGTAGTCCAGGATCTTCTTGCCAGTCCCTGAAGGATCATTCACCTTGTCTGGCTTCAGATCCTTCATTACGCACACCGCTGACATGACGAGTTTTACACCAGCTGGAGGGTTGGTCATGGACTTGACRATTGTGATATCAGCAGGCTGTGAAGGAGAAAAATCAGAGATCAGAGTTTATGATATTTAATGCTGAGATAAAACGAAAAACACGTTTTAAGACATTTTGAATAATTAGTCATGTTGCACCTTCTCTACTACATGGTCACGGCGAAAACAAACAAAAAAAGCGCATGCTTTCAAATAAAATCCCTTAGAAGTCAGAATTTTAGATCCTCTTACAAATAAACTTTGACGCCGCTGAGCTGCGCCACTGCCTGTACTTGTGGTGGTGATCAGCTTTAACGACTGAACCTTTTAAATATTTTCTTACAAATAAACTTACTAAACAAAGAAACAAGACAAGACATTTTTGTTTGGAAATCCTGAGTAAAATTTATTCTCACCTTGAGAGTGTTAAGTGCAGCAAGAGCAGCTTCTAGTGCAGGGATAGCTTCTGCTAACTCTCCTTCACATTCGTCCTTTAGGGCCTGCGCTTCTGCTGCCTTGATGTTCGCTGCTGCTTCGTCTTTACGTACAATCTCACTCGTAGCTTCAACCTCTTTGGATTCCTTCTCAATAACCTGGTGTATAAAGTCGAAGTGTACACAGTAAGAACAAAGGTGTGAGGTAAGTTGTGATGCATGAACGCGCTGTGGAAAATAGGTGACATACAGAAAGGGGTAACTGATAATGATCACGCGCTAAAAGGGCGCGATGTTCATGCTGTGAAATACAGTAAATGTTGAATATAGCAAGGGATCATTGCTGTAGAAATGGTTAGCGTACGTCCATTGGATTATAGATGCACACACACGCTAGTTAACCAATCAGAGCACGCGTTATACTTTAGCTATGTTATATTGAATTAGCTATTGATCACGCGCCAAAACAGCACGGTTACGGTAACGCGGCGTAACATACTTCACGCAAGAAAGGTCATAAATGAATGTCACAAGACAGTTAGTTCTACTTACCACCATCATCTTGTCGTTCTCAGCTGCCGTCTCCACCAACTGCGGCTGCAATTCCTCTAGTTCTTTTTGCATATCAGCAACCTTGAGTAACGTGATAAGCAAGGTATTAATTAAAATAAAAGTATCATACTGCTCATAACATTTTATTATACTTGACTATTAATAGTAACGACAAGCTGTGTCCTATAGAGCATGTACTGACGTGCCGTGCCGCAATGATTCTAAGAAATCTGATTGGATGTCTAATGGATTATACTGTTTCAGTCTATCGATAAAATTCGTCTTTTTACACACACTGTGTTTGGTTTAAAGTTGGTCGTCAAATTTTGTGCCGTGAAGGTACGACGTGCTTAAATTGGCCAATACCGTCATTAGTTTTGGTGTCGGTTTAACTTAATTAACACAAACCTGAGATGCAGCAAATGCTAGCTTTTCTAGTCCAACTTCATAACGTCGCTTGTTTCTCAGAACCTAGCGAACCAAAAGGTAAACATTAATACAAACGATCTTACGTACATACAGGACGTGCACACAGTCATGGCCGCAAAACATCTGAATGGTAGCTGCCATTGGAAATGACCACGTAAAATGGCGGTCTTGTCTCATCTTGAGACGTAAAACATAGAGGAACATGTGACTGTCATGTGTCACTCTTTATCATACACGGTTGCTTTACTTTGCATATCTCGTCATACCTCATCCTGCTTCTTTCCCAGAAGACTTTTAAATGAAGAGATCAATTCCAAGTAGGAGGTAGGCGTCACGTAGTTATGTCTACCCAACACCTCAAGGTATCTGATAACAGACAAAAATATATATTATCAATCAGGACTGATTACGCACTAATTGGTATATCAGACCAGTTACAGTGCGACGCATGCCAAATTTACATTCTTACACGTGTCATCGTGACTTTCCTTTGACTTTAATTGTCAATCAATCAATGAATAAACTTTGTTTAAAGAGGGTGACGTATTAACCCATTGAGTTACCTAGCTTACGGTAAATTGGGGTTGGGTTTTTCATAACGATTTATTTTTCTCTCTTTTCTCTCTACTATCGTGTATTAAAAGAAGTTTAAAATTGGTTGGCTACGGTAGTAAGCGTCTCATGGTAACAATGGTGGATCCAGGAATTTTAAAAAGGAGAGTTCCGAAATGGCCGCCACGCAGAAAAAGCTGGTAAGATTGGCTTTACACTGAGGGGGGTTCCAATTTCATTCTACTGAGCGTAAAGAGCATGATTGGCTTCACAAGATCTTGCAAAAAGGGGGTTCCATGGAACCCACTCCTGGATCCGATGAGTTAACCTTGCATCTGATCAATGTAATATGACTTACTTTTCGGATAATTGACGTGCGCTTGTATGGAAGTGTTGGCAGATGGGAACGATTTCAGTGCGTTCGTTTTGTGTCAGATGGGCATCTTCCAGGAACTTGTTGGCTACCATCTCTAAAGCATCTTGAGGCCATGGCTGTACGGAAACACACGAAGTAGAACAGTTGACGCAGGTATTTAGAGACTGGGAGGGGGAGGCTGGTGCAAAGATGGGGTCAATGATTTTCATGCAGGAAGAAAAGGGGGAGAAAAAAAATGTTCGTAAAAGAAAGGATCAAGATCTACACATACTGATACCTTTTTTGCACCCCTGTCCCCTTCTAAATACTGACCACTTCGACCTCCAACATGCAGGGTATCTTGTATCCCACGACAAATAAATCATATTGCCATGACAATATATTATCAAAGCCAGTAAATGAGCATCACATGGTTTAATATTCAAACAAGTGAAAAAGAATGACTGTGGAACAAACCTGGAACCAGTCAATGGTGCAGCAGTTGATGAGAGCTGGGAACTGTCGTAACCTGTTCCTGAATGCATCACCAATAGGACTCATGCACAACATGATATGAAGATTCTCTTTGCAACAGTTGACAAAGAAGTTAAACAGCGCAAGGGGAGAAAACTCCACATTCTTGTCTTCAGCCTGAGATTGAGCCACGGGTCTTACCGCCTGCAAATACAGTAGGAAATTGAATGTATTATGTATACACAATACAAGCATATATTCCTGATTTCAGGTGTAGCCAATATTCTATAGTACCTCGTTAAGCTCTGCCTTTTCATCAACAGCAAATAGATTAGGAACTTCGCCAGTATTCAGCAAGCTGTCCACGTCTTCTAAGAAAGATTCTTCTTTGATTTGGCTATCAGTTAACAAGAACACTGTGGGCTTCATCTGGCAACCAGCACTTTTCAGAAGAGTCTAAAAGAATGAAGGTAAGAATCGCGGTAGCCAGGAGTCTAATACTAGTTTCGAAAATAATTTTATCGAACCTTGAAACGACCTATGGGCTGAYCTCCTTTAAGTCAGGGCACGGCTAAGTCACAGAATGAATTGGGATTTAGTGGGTTGGATTTTGTTGATGGAGGAAAACCGGACAACCCTCAAGTGAGAGACCCAATAAACTAAGGAAGACCAACTCGATGAAAAATGTGAGCCAAAATACTTTCTTTTACCAAGATGAAAAATTCAGTCCTTTGACGAGTTGGATTGTGCAAGTTTCGAACACTGCCCCTGACAGAAGAGGATTATTTCTCTATATTCCACGTAACAAAGATATCATTTTACCTTAATATCTTCTCTCCATTCTGGCATACCATAGCTCTTAGAGATCTCAGGCTGGAAGACGGCAAAACCAGCAATGTCAGCAGCAAGTCGTGAGAGAGACTGTCTGCCGCTGCCACCAACACCCACGAGGAGGGCGTTGCCACCTGGTTGCTTCAGGACACGGCTGATACGAACAAGATGCTCTAAAACGTATCTATAAGACAGGGGGGAAACAACTTTTGAGCACATCACATAATATATAGCCATGTGATAATTCCCCTCATCATGTAATATTTTGTCTCCGAGATGTGACGTCATCGTTCCCATTTGAGGCCCTACTAAGATAGGACTCTAACCCCGGCATCTCTCACCTAATGGGACCAGCATTTCACTGAGGTGTGTATAAGTGTGTGTATAATAACTAATATATTACAATAGCACATATCTTGTAATACCTGAAAATAACAAGATTCATTACTGTCTTGTGGGTTTGGTTGTACTCATCCAGGTAGCTTTCAGTGATCTTGTATAAATCTTCTACTGATTCCACTTCTTGGTATAAACGATCTTCCGCCATCTGCGAAGAAAATTAAAAACAAAACAGTCAACAACAGCAGCAGCAACAACCACAGCAGCAACAGAAGCAACATCAACATTAATATCATAATCGTCATCATTATCAATATCAATAACTGCAATACCAACATTTTCTTGATCATATAGATGTTTGTTATTGATAAAAAGGCGGCGTTGATAAACTGAATACATAATGTTTGGTGCTTACCACATCAGGATTGAGGAAGTCACAGAACATCAAGCTTCTCATGTCGTCCTCAGAAGCCTGGGAAAAATCATAACACATTTTAAACAGTTGAATGATATTAAAACTAGAGCAAACACCGTGGAAGATACTCGAATATTAATTCAAAATTAATTATTCCATTTTAGTACAGAAACCAAGCGCATGACTCACCGTTTTGTTGTTAGAAGACAAATGTTTGAAGAGTGAATCAAAGTCTTCTTTAAAGTGCTCTTTTGTAACTGTCTTTAAAAGTCTGGAAATGATGATATGTAAAGGCATTACAATTGGTGTGTCATGGCCGCCATGTTGGTTGACATAACCCAGAGAAACTGAGACCAAATCGTTTGTTTATGTCAACCAATATGGCGGCTATCACATGCAGCTCAAGAATATGAAGCTAAAAAAAATTGGTTCAATATTTTTTGACAGTACTTACGAATGAAGCCATGCTCTGTCTTTATCATCCACTAGACGATCATAGAACACACGATATACCTCATGTACCCATAACCTGTAAAAAACATATATTTTATTATGTGTGTTAAGTATCTTGAAAGTAGTCAATAATGCTGCAACATGATGATATGATGGTGCCAAACACACCCCTCGAGAAAAGGATGCAATTGAGAGTGACAGCAAGGCATGTCTCGGTCTATGCGCCTCTTAATAATAAGATGACCCTATTTATAACCTTGTAACTGTTTTCTTGTCTTTCAGAGCATCTTTTTTAATCAATAGAACACCGCGTACTACTCGGGAAAAGTCACGCAGGTTGAATGTGTAGTGAGACTTGGCTGGAGTAGGGAGAAGGTTGTCCATGGCTTGCTTGTATATCTGTGTTAAAAAACATGAAAATTTCTCACTGAATCATTTCATTTGAAAAYTCATCTGCTGCCTGTCGTGCTTCTCGTAACACTTCTATCGTGTTCTGCCAATTCCCCCGCACTCTATAACTTCACACAGCCGGCACGCGATTTTACGTTTTCAATTTATAGATAATATAATGGGCCAGGCGACACCAGGGAAAAACGTTTGYGCATGCATGCACTTCAGCACGTTTTCTAGGAATTTTTGAGAAAATAAATGTTTGTTTTCTCCAAGTATACAAACAATATCGCGAGTATACTTTTGTCAGACCAAGATACTGTATTAACAAACAAAATATGAAAGAATTAGCCTTAAGTTTCAAGCATGGACACTAAGTTTTGGCATTTTGTGAAGTCCAATTTATCAGGCATGTCAAATTTACATATGTTTTGAGTAATTTGCATACGGATTCAGAGCATGCGCAGACGTTTTCCACTCGTGTCGGGCCAGGCAGTTACGAGAACAATATAGAATGCGCCAGCAAGAGTTTCTTTCAAGAGAATTGTTGATATCAGACTGAGGTGTCTGATTAAAATCAGTCTTATATAACTAATACTATTATTTATCACATTGGCCTAACCTCCATGGTGGCAGAAACCACGTTGTTCCCTGCAGCAAACGTATCAGTAGGGAATTCATGATTCTGTGAAACGAAAGAGAACATTTTAAGTTAAAACTGACAYTAGAACAAAGACAGTGAAGCTATGAAGCCTTGGCGAATATATTATTACTGGGCTACCTGTGGTAGAAAAGCCAAAAAAAGTTTTATGTTCTTTCATGATTGTTATGCGGTTTTATGCGGTTATGAGTGCTTTTCGTGTTTCTGCCATCGCCACAACTTCAGAGTCCACGGGTTTTGACAATCAAAAAACTACTAAGTCAGACCAGACCTTAGGAAATTTTATAGACCGAGTCCAAAACATTAGCAAACGTGCCGCGTCTGGCATTGTCTAGGACACAAAAATACCTTCTGAGCACACGAGCACTATGATACCTACCCTGAAGTAGAAATTGACGATGCTTGAAAAGATCCTCTGCATGGTCTCGTCATTAAACGTTGCCACGGAAATTACATTGAAATGACGTAAGAAGCGCTGAGTCACCGGGTTACGCCCTCCACCGGGTGGACCCATGGCGCAAATGAACTGGAGATCAATCAGAGATATTTTGGAAGTGTCTTTTCGGTCGTACCAGTTTCTATGGTCCAGGTATTGTCGGAGCAGCTCGATGGGGGGCTGGGCGCCATATTTCTCTAGTGCAGGCATGTTGACGTCATCAACGAAAATGATGAACCTGAAAAAATATTAGTTAAAAAATCTTATAAATTTTGATCTTCAAATTGGTTATTATTGGCTTATCAAGTTGCTTTCACTGCAAGATTGGTAATTCTTCTTCTAGCTACCGCCGGATGGAATATGGTGTTCTTATAGAGCGTTTTCACTCATGTGAGAAGGCAGCCATATTAGTGTACCAAAAAGTAGAAACTTTCTGCACAATTTTTGCATAAAAATAGAGTTTAATTTCAGGAGGATAGAAGGTCTTGTTTTGCTACACCAACATGGCCGCTGTGACGTCACGTGAAAACGCTCTATACAAATATTATATCTTTGTCTCAATCTGGTCCTTACCTCTTTCCCACAGGAGGCCCAAACACACCCTTACGTCTCTTATCAAGTTTAGACATGATGATATCCTGGCTCTGGTTTGCGCTGGTTTGAGCAGAGAAGTTAACAAAGGCCGGTAAGAACTGATCCTTAGGCAATCCATTCATGAGCTTGTCTTTGACATACACTGACTTGCCTGTACCAGTAGGGCCCACGAACATGAGAGGTTTATCATTGTGTATCATTAGGTCCATGAGGTATGAATACCGGGCAGTATCCATGGTAGGTACAATGATATCACTGATTCTCGTATTTTTACCACCGAGGGAAGTCGATTTGATTAGTTTTGTCCATTGAATCCAACTACCACGATTTTTACGCTGTAAAAATATGAACAAAATAACTGTTATAAAAAATAATTATTATAGATCTCGCGTTCTGATTGATTGGGCGCGTGTGCACACAGCACGCACATACACTTTCAGTTTCGTCATACGCGCCTTGTTTCTTCTTAAACTTCTCTCGTGTTCGCCAACCCCCGCGTGCTTTATAACTGCACATATCACGCGCGCGCACTTTCAGTCGTGTCACACGGTTCGTGCTTCTCCTAACACTTCCCTCGTGTTCGCCAATCCCCCCCGCGTGCTTTATAACTGCACACAGAACGCGCACGCGTTTTTATTTTGCTTTTATTATCTACAGTAAGTCAACTGAAATACCAACCTCAAAGAGGAAGTCGTAGACCTGCCCTTCAGAAGGGATGGGTGCCTCGATCTTACCAACTATATTAGGRATGGGATGATCTTCGATCTTGCCTGCCATGAGATCCTTGAAAAACACGTCAAACTTGGCTCGACTGTCTGTATCTACGCATGCTCCAACCGACCATACCACGGAGAACAAGAACGAAGACTGTAGTGAAAAACCCGGGAGATAACATTAGAATATAGAATATAGAATAATTAAACAAATTTGCATGTGAGTTTAGTGACATCTAATAAAAACAACAACAATGATGATGATGATAATAATAATAATAATTATTATTATCATTATTATTATCATTATTATAAAATAATATTATCTACTTACCACAATCCATATTTTGAGGTGCTTAGAGTCTCCTTCTGTTGCTTCTTTTAACATTATTTCAACGAGGTTCATCAGTGAGCGTGCCAAATTACTATCAGCACAAGGCACTATCTCCTTCAAATACAAACAAACATCAAGCATCAATTATAAAATACCTAGCTGTACTACTGCTATGGGTGTAAGATTGATTTTACATTACTCTAATATTCCAAAGTGGAGGGGGTTTGCTAGCCACCAAATGAATCCCCCGCGTCCCCCATGGATTGATTATCAACTTACTTTACACTTTTTTCGTACAAAAGCCAAGCAAGCTGGTAACGCCCAGTGAAAGAGAGCTATGATCAACTTGGCATGTTCACCACTCAGTAGTTCTGGTAAGGCTTTGATCCAGGACTGTAGGATAGGATCCCAACCTAGAGAAGCTGGCTCCAAGTAGATCATACCACATCGACTTACAGTAGCAGGCTAGTAACAACATCAGTGAAGAGAATTAGTTCAAAAAACGAAAGAATGGAAGAAAATTAGACCCATTACACATTCTAATTTCAAACCACGTGTAATTCCCTTGAGAATAAGATTCTTTATTTGAGTCTTATCATTATCATTAATGTTTCTGGTAAAGTGTAATTGATGGGGAAAAAAGAAATAATACTCAATGAAATGACACGTGGAAGTAAAAAGATATTATACTCAATAGAATGACACGTAGAATCAAAAARGAATAATAATAAATGGAATGATGACACGTAAAAGCAAAAAGATAGTATACTCAATAGAACTTCACATAGAAGCAAAAAATATATACTCAATGGAATGACCCGTGGAAGCAAAAACCAAAAATACTCAATGGAATGACAATGGATTTGAAATGGGAACCATGAATCAGGCCCAAGGGATGAATGAGTGAAAGATAACATAATAAAATATGGAATTTTGACTAGAACGAATGTTCCCTCATCTACTGAAGACATCATGATGAACACTACTTACAGAAGCCTGGGACAAATCTCTGCATTCGAAGATTAGACTCATGACATTTGAGAGCTGTATGATTTCACCGCTCATCAAACACAGCTAAGTAGAAACAAAGTGTATATAGTGTTAATCTGGTAGGTGCTATCTACAGGTTATATTTATAGTGTTGCACGTGCAGCTCCCATCGCCATTGAAGCTATTCAGTTATGGAGCGTGGAAATTTTTTGACAGACCCAGTCGAAGAATCATAATCATGAATTGATGAATGGTATCCTATATGGTATAGATTGACCAGGTATGTTACCTTTTTGTTATCGTCCAGTACAGTGTTCATGCTCTCAATCCATAGTGTGTCAATAGGACCATCAAATATAACCCATTTGCGTATGTCAGTCTGATCCGAGGCATACTCACGGAATGTGTTGGCTACGATACCGTCTGTCCACTGAAAACATACGTTACTTCAATTAGTATACTGCTTTCTTTTTATGCTGCACTTTCCAGATGAAATGGTCTATTCGGTTTGATAGCGAGTATACTGTCATGTAAGATGCAAGTCCCGCAAAAGTTATCGGGACTCGGGACATGCTCGGGATATACACGGGACATACGARGAAAATCTACAGGGATAGGGGATACCAACGGAAAATGCAAAAAATGACGCCATACATTAATCGTTAATGTAATAATTTTGGATTATTGTAAGATATAAAGGGATACTTAAAACATATATCTAGTACCTACCTCATGAGAAACAGGATCAAACTGTCCAAATAACTGACCCATTGTGATGGCTTTGGGATTGATAATACGATACCAAACCTACAACGATTAGAATTTACAAAAAACTGTCATAAATCTCGATTCTTGATTGGCCGAGATATGTGCAATATAAGCATATACTGCACGCGCGTTTGCGCTGTCTTTTCGGCTATTCTGAAATTTGAATTTTTATAAGAAAAATCTTCCGCTAAGCGTCGTGCTTCTCCTAACACTTCTCTCGTGTTCTGCCAATCCGCCTGCGTGCTATATGAATGCACACAGCACACGCGCGCGCTCACCATATCTAAATCAACTTATGACTCGCAACCATTCTAGATGTATTTCTATTCGTGATCCGCTATCTTTAATATAGTACCTTATTTATATTCTCGTCGTCATAGCCGYGGTCGTGTAAGGTAGTCATGGCTTGGGCAAGTACTTGTAAAACCGTTGTTTTCCCGGAGAACGAATCGCCGACCATCATGAAACTGAACGAATACGAGAAAAAACACTTTAAACAACAAGACTGATAATAAAAATTTTACAGTGAGCCGCACAAGAGTAAGTCTTGCATAACAAAGTACAAAGAGAGTAGGTTTTGTTCTGGGTGTGGAAGATATCATGGTACCAGGAAGTGCACTATACGGAATGCTCTTAGAGCGGTTTTCGTCTAAGTAGGAAACATATTGTACTGGCTTAAATCACCTACACGGTGCTACATGCAGCAACATTGAAATGGATTGTCATTGTCTTCCAGTAATTCATCCAAYCACAATGCATAGTTACKGTAACGGTGAGAAACAGCACGGCTDAAGAACGGATACGGCGAATTTGTCGTATCGTTTCCCTCTCATRCGAAAACCACCCTATCCATTAAACAATATTGAAGATGTCTATCATTCCTTACCCGTGACGTACAATCATCATCTCGTACGTCTGTATGATTTTCTCGCTGAAGAAATCCACGAACTGGATGTTCTTCTTGTCGCAGACCTGTAATAAGAATATCACGTTAGAAATAAACTGGAAAACGATCGCTCCAAATGGGAATGCATGAATTTAACAAAACTGTTACACGCGGAAAATCCGGTACAACTTGTACCGCGCAGAAAATGGTATTGAAATAAGGTAGTTCTACCTTTAACAGAATGTCAAAAATGCATATTTCCATGAATAAGTTGCGCGAACAAAAATTTCGTACTGCTTGCAACAACGTTTATTGCRAGACAAATTGCACGAAAAAAAACGCCTTTTCAAGTTAAGATACCAACCTCTTTCACGGTGTCCAGGAAAACTCCATAATCAGCCTTTGGTAGACTAATTCCAGGAAACAAATCCGAGATAATACCCTCGAATAAAGGAATATCATGGGAAAGGAATTTAGGAAGGTTAACATCCATGATGGAACGTAATAATAGAACGTTCTCGTCGTCGTTGGGATACTTTAACTTGAGGTTACCAGCAGCTGCGAGGACAGCTTTTACTGCACGCATACCGTAATCATAATGAAACTGCGACGATARCTGGGAAAAGAATTGTAATATTAGGTGTTAAATTAATAAATAAATATAAAATAAAAAATAAATAATGGGTTCTTATATAGCGCATTTCAAATATCTCAATGCGCTTCACATTCATAACCAGTCAGGAGGACTTTACGGGCTGCGTATTAGGGCGCTAATGGCAGCAAGTGCAGCTTACAATCATGAGTGTGAAATGTTAGTAGATTGGTATTATGCCTCCAGATTGGGATAGGCTGTTGAACCGGGAGACATTCCCCTACTCTTACACGAATAATTCAACAGGTTCTTTTATGTCCCCCATTTACTGTAGGTTAGGAAGGGTTRGAAGACAGGGCCACGGCCAAGTCCTTGTCAGAGAAGACTTTCTTAATGTTGCTCGGAATATTTTTTCTATCTGAAAACCTTCAAATTTTATCCATACCCTGTACTTTAGTAGGTTTTGCGTCGAGAAAGAGAAACCGGAGAAAACACCTCGAATAAAGGAAGCCGAGGCCTAACAAACKCTTCTTACATTAGATGCGAGACCCCGAAACCCCAGAAGTGAAAAAATAAATCTAGTATTATATAGTGTTCATACCTGTTCTGAGCATAATTTGTATGTAGTGACGATCTTGACTGATAAATTACGAGCATCGCGGAATCCATATGAATACAGCATGATCTCACCAATCAGTGCGTAATCAGGAACCATCATGGCTACTGTACGGAACAACACCTACCAACAACAACACAGTAATATACTATCACAATTGTATAACATTTGGATACGCGGGCTAAGGGCTATGGGTTACGCCGCATCAGGCGTATGTGGCGCAGATAACTGGACTTGTGGTCCATGAGGAAATAAGTCAAAAGGACTAGTTATGATTGATTGCGCGTTGTTTAAACATTGAGTGATAAATGCGCACACTTTAGTATGCTCGTTATACAACGTTGATTGACATTTCATACAACGTATTGGAGTGTGCAACACTACTGTGACACTTCTAGTGTTCTCTATATGTTCTCCATACAACGTTGACTTACATTTTATACAACTTTTTGGAGCGTACAAAACTTAGACACTTCTAGCAAACTTCAGATAGGCTGGAAACTTGCGCGTTGCTTGCGCAAAAAGTGAGACGCGCGGACTTTAGGAAATTTACCATATAACGTTGATTGAAACTTCATACGGCTTGTCACGTAATACACTAGCAAACTAAAGACAACAAGCTACAAGTTTACTCAAGGAGTACGTCGATGCTAGCTACGCCGTCACGCAAACTTTCTCTGCGTTGGGAGAGAAATGTTACGTTACGACGTGACGACCCATGGAGATTACGTGACGACCCTAGGAGGCGACGTGACGACCATGCTTAGGAGGCTACATCAATGTAAACGTGACTTACCTTAAGGTTATCAGGAAGCTCTGATCGACCAGCATACCCTGGGTTCATAGTGATGGCCACATAACAGTTAGAATTAAGATTYAGTTCAGTTCCTTCGAAGACAAATCTTGTCTGATGAGCTGCTATACCACGCTGAATGCACAGGATCTACGAAACGAAAAACAGTTTGCATTTATCGTACATAACATTGGTCATTGGTATATTTAATTTTTAAAGTTAAATGTTTAAGATCCTACCTGCTGRGCGACCACGGACAACACCTCTAACTCGATGCGGTTGAACTCATCAAAGCATGCCCACGCACCACATGAAGCCAAACCCTTGAAGAACTATAAAGAAAGTAAAATTATTGAAAAACAAGAATTATAACGGACGGGAAAGGGGGGTGGAAGTTCGAAAGTTTACGAGTTTTATAAAATAGATTTCGTATGATTTTTTTTTTCGTATCCTTACCTTTCCCATCTGTAGGTAATCCAGGCCGTCAGAACAGTTGAAGACAACGCATTGTATAGCAAGAGCTTTRGCCAAATCCTACAGTAATAGGGGGAAACGAGTAAGGCTAAAGCATCCCGAAGAAAACATTTTTATCCAATAATTGAAACTGTTCTCCAATTAAACATGTCATCAAATATGAACAAAGCCACGCATACCTTGGTAGTCTCTGTCTTGCCTGTGCCTGCTGGACCTTCTGGTGCACCACCAAGATTAAGATGGAATGCGCTCATWAGGGTTCGGTAGCATCGATCAGTCAAAGGAGTGATGACAAGCCTAAAAAAATATGACATTTCAAACTGCAATTTCGTAGAGCATGCGCAGTAAGACCCCAGAGAGTGGGCTKTAAGAGTCTCRGTGRGCTTACCTTCCAGAGTTGCCGAGATAYTCACARCCATACGTCACAGATGCATTAATGATTCGTACTATACACTTCTCCTGTTCCCAGTAATAGCGAAGCTGGCACAACCACTGGAAGTCGTTTTCTTGAGTGACTCCTAAAACAAACAAAAATCGAAAGATGGTGGGATTCCTATGGAAATAATACCAAAGGAAGCCCAGACGAGAAAACATACCTTTGTTTGCTATATCGTGCACAACATCTCTWGCATGGACATCAATGGTCACCAAGGCACCGAGTGTCACACGGTTCTGTTTGGAGAGTTTTCCTCGAACAAGCACAACTATTTCCTCCAACTAAGAAACAACAGGCAATGCCACTTAGAACATATATGTATAYATAAAGATACCGATGCAGATACTCACTTGAGATGTTAGCTTCTCGTGGTATTCTTTGAGTCCATTAGGKCCAGAATTAATTGCATCATGGACTTCCTGTGTCCAGTAAATCTGACTGGTGCAGATGACGATCTGCA